TCTAGTTTCACTAAAGCTATTCAGATTCATAAACCTATATGTTATTTTATCGTTATTATAGAAAATGATGATGATTTATTGTATTCTAATTTTTATTGTGGTAAAGATGCCATTAAGCATTTTTTATTTAATATCCAGAAGCAATTAAATATTTTATTAGATAAAATAACCAGTTATGTATAAATGAATGTAGATACTATTTCCGATAATTACGAACATCGGTGTCATATATGTAAGGAGGGGTTTAATTATGATGATATCAGAGTAAGAGATCACGATCATTTAACAGGTAATTATCGCATAATAGCTCATAACCATTGTAATTTAAATTATAGATTCAAAAAATTTATTCTTATTATACTACATAATTTTACAGGTTATGACTCCCATCTGATTTTCAAAAATATTCCTCCTAAACTATTTACAAGAATTCAGATTATCACCATAAATTCAGAAAAATTTACAACATTTACTTTAGATCATTTCAAATTTATAGATAGTTATCAATTTTTAAATTCCCTCACTAACTACTTTAACAGAAAATTTAAAAAATTCGAATTATAATTTTCCTATTTTTAATCAATTTTTCTATAATAACGAAAATAAAAATTTATTAAAAAGAAAAGAAATTTTTCCCTATTCTTATTTTAAAAACAATGATATTTTAAACGAGAAATGTTTATTGCCAAAAAATATTTTTATAACAAATTATCTGGAGAAAATATTAGCGATAATGATTATGATCATGAAAAATTAGTTTGGAAAAAATTTCGTTGTAAAAATTTTAAAAATTATTTAAAATTATATCAATATGTTGACACTTTATTACTAGCCGATATATTCCAAAATTTTAGAAAATTAAGTTTAAAATATTATAATTTAGATCCAGTATATTTCATAACAGCTCCAGACTTAACATGGAATTGTGGATTAAAAATGACAAAAATTCAACTCGAATTATTTAAAGATATTAATATGTACCTTTTTATTGAACAAGCAATTCGCGGCGGAATTAGCCTAACTTCGAAAAGATTCGCGAGGGCCAACAATCCTCTAATTCCAGAAACCTATGATAAAAATCAACGACATAACTATATTATTTCGATAGATGCTAATAATCTCTACGGATTTGTGATGAGTTCTTATTTACCTGTAAATAATTTCAGATGGTTATCTGAGGATGAGATAAATGCTTTAGACATTTGTAATATTCCTGATAGGAATAATATAGGCTATATTTTAGAGGTTGATTTAAATTATC